TATTTCATTCCCTCATGAACAAAAAAAAAAAAAAAACATTTGGAAGCGATCCAAAGTGACAAAGTGTTTCACTAGCTACGATATCTACTGATGGTTCCTCCGTCCAGTGGTACTTTCATCGAACACAACTTGATTCCATGCCATACTAAATCTCACAAGAAAAATTTTCGAATTTAAAAATTACTTTTCCAAAAAATTTAAGAAATTAATTCAAATTTTCAAATTTTTTTTTCTAATTCAAATTTAAGAAACTTGAAACGAATTCAAATTTCGTTGTATTTGTAGGAAAAACCTGAGTTCAATACGCATATGTATTTTTCAAAAATCGTTCACGCTCTATACCTAGGCAATGCTTACAAAATACAGAACATTTTCAATTCGAAAAAAAAAACACAGAAAATTAGTGCGTATCAAAAAGTGCCAAAAACTTACAAAATAATTTCACGCTCGAAATCGTCGTTGATTGCGCTCTCACTGACATGTTCGTTACTCACCGTAACATCCAAAGTTTCCAGCCATGGCAATTTCTTCTTGAATCGTTCAATTTTTGCTTCCAGTTCAGCCTTAAGACAGAAAAGAACGGATATTTGCTTGCAAATGAGCCTTGAAGTAGGAAAGAATGACCAAAACCCGAGCTTACTTTTCCCGATTTGTATAAAAATACTACAGCTGATGGCTTTACCAGTTAAAAGTAGGACAAACCTTGTCTTCTTATACAGTTTCGGGGACCTCTCTAGGAATCGTCTCCTCGTAAAATTTCAGATTTCTCTTCAACAAGCTACCGTCTTCCGTTATTTCTTGTGATTTTGGGTTTTTCCCAGAAAAAATAAGAAACCGATCCACATGTGTCATTCGACGTTGTCATACTGGGAAACGCTAAGTTTAAATAAACGGTACAACAAGTGCATGTTCAAATATTCTGATATCAAAGTGCCAACCTTTTTACTGATAATTGGTCTTTTCTTTTCCACAATATAATTCAGCCGGTCACTTTTCAACAGACCTTCCTTGAGAGCCACTTGTA